AATCAGTTGGTAAAGTGAAACACATATTTTTTCTTCACTGTCAATTCTCTGCCACATTTTGAACACTGCACATCCTGCCAACCAGCCAGTCCATGTTGACAGATGAACTCTTGGAGATGGTCTTCATCCTCCACATTACTCACCACAACGTGATAAGAACGCTATCAAAAAACAATACCGGTATGGCTTCTCTCCTCCTTGATGAACAACAATAAGTATACGAACATACAGTTTTCATTCCAACAATATGATAATTATTTATGAATAGAATAGATTCAGAAACCTATTATGTACAGTACAGTCTCGTTCAAGATTCTTCGAACACTGCTGAAGACAGCTGGCAACTCGAGGCCGTTTGTTTACTATAGTACGTATTATAATATAGTACGAAACAACAAAGCCAAACTATTAATTAAGCAACGGGGAACTAAGTAACCAATCACCGATAACCTTTTACATTTATACATAATTTTTACTACGTACTATAGTAAACAAACGGCCTTGAGTTGCCAGCTGTCTCCAGCAGTGTTGGAAGAATCTTGAACAAGACTGGGATTTTTGTAAGTGACTCATGACTTTATACTGAATGCTAAAAAAAATACATTCAAGTCTGCACAGTATAAATTATAAGGAAGTAAAACGCCTTACATGAGGGTCTGTCATATACAATGCACCAGAGACTTGTCATATGTTAGTTTGATCACCAAGTATTTACCCCACTATTTCCCTCATGCTTCATGCCCTCTCTACTACAGCTGATTTATGATTGTAGATAAAGAAAAAATAAATAATTATATATTTGTACGTAATTAAAATAAAAAGTCGTATTAATTTTTATTATAGTTAGTATCATTCAGAGAACAACTGTGCCAAATATGAACGAAATATATAAACACATTCTTGAGCAGACAGTCTTCTCCACCTTTTCTGAATTATTTATTACCATAACTGGTTTTGATGTGGTCAGGTAACTTATTCCAGTCTGTTATAGCTGTAAAGAAGAAAGTGTTCTACACTAGACCAGTCTGTTATAGCTGTAGAGAAGAAAGTGTTCTACACTAGACCAGTCTGTTATAGCTGTAAAGAAGAAAGTGTTCTACACTAGACCAGTCTGTTATAGCTGTAAAGAAGAAAGTGTTCTACACTAGACCAGTCTGTTATAGCTGTAAAGAAGAAAGTGTTCTTCACCTGAACACAGACCCCAGGTGCCATAAACTTATGTTCACTCCCTTTAGTGTCATGCTGGTTCATATCTCTAATCCTTGCACAGTCTGTTGAATATCCTGTAATCGTGCTTCAGCCTCAGTTGCTTCACTGATGGAAGAGTCAACTTGGCTCTTGGTGAGGCCTCAACATACAGCACTGTAGCTGTGTACTCTACTGGGAGGGAAGGTTGGGAACAAGTAGAAAATTGAGACAGGTGGTACAGTATAGTACAGTACAGTCCCACTGACAGAAATTTCTAATTTGTCTGTGATCTGTAAGTTTTCAAGTCGAATCTCTCTGATTTTTAATGCACTAGTTTATAATAACAACAAGGTTTAGTTATCATAATAACATACACAGTTTTTTAATACGTACAAACTTTATTTTGAAAATGAATCTAAGAAGTTAACAAATCTAAGAAATCAAAGCTTAGCTCGGTGATCTACCATAGAGAAATAAAACTTTGATGAAAAATGTATTGTGTGTGTTAATCAAAGCTTGTACAATTACAGAAATAATTCTAACAACTACACAAAATAGCATTTATTTGTAGCAAGGAAGTTCTTCATTATTTTGAGGCAGACATTTTCTTTGAAATTGCAACTGAGGTAAATTTTGCTGACTGCTTTAGTGTCTGTTGTTGGAAATGCTCCTCATATGAGGCTCCTTGGTACATTAAGTATAGTGCTCTTTTAAACAGTTTTCTATTTGTGGCTATTCCTGTTACTGGGCCATTCAGCTTTATGAAGGTCAACATTTCTATGGTGTCAGCATTTTGTGTGTTGGTCCAGGCTTTTCCTCAGTAAGGTTTTTGAACAGTAATTGCAAACCACTTTTTCTGTCCATGATGATGATGCCATTGATGTTGTTTTTAATAGTCCTTTTGGGGACGTTTGTGTAAAACATTCACAACTCAAATGATTAATGATGTGTCAACACAGTCGGTCTTCAGGAGCCACTGTGGTGCTGCTGTATGGTTGGGACGGACAGGATGCAATAGTAACTGGTGGACGGGCAAGTAGGTGGATGACTGGGTCACTGGACGTGCAAGTCGGTACTGAACGGTTATATGTCCCGTTTATTCATGCGGTATGATCAGCGGTACGGTACTAAATGGTAGTTGTAGGGAATGCTGTACGACCTAGGAAAAACATTGAGGCCTGGCTCGGGTTGAGATTAATCATATTTTTTGTAGTTTCTTGTTTTGTGAATAATACAAGTTACAACCTGGACAGTCTGCCACTAGGTTCTTATTGTATATGAGTGATGTTCAAAGTGAAATGATGATGAAAATGATGTAGAATATCAAAATAAACTGAGAGAATGATGGTGATGAGAAACATTATTCTAGGAAAAAAATCCACAATCCTTGTTAGTGCCCGCCTGCCTCGGCTGCCTGCCATTTATTTATTTTTTTTCCTTCTGGGTCATTGTGTCTTCCTGCTGTATTTATTTCCCAGTCTTGACACAACAGTCAGTAACAAATAAAACAGTACATCTCTCTGAATTCAATGTAAAAAATCAAAACAATGATAACTTACGCCATTACATCTTCAAAAATTTGTCTAATTTTCTCTCAGATTTGTCTGCGAGTAGTTCATAGGCATTTCTGTCAGTGGGAGTACAGTACAATTCAGTACAGTACAGTACAGAACAGTACAGTATAGTACAGGACAGGACAGTATAGTACAGTGCAGTATAGTACAGTACATTACATTACAGTGCAGTACAGAACAGTACATTACAGTGCAGTACAGTGCACTATAGTACAGTACATTACAGTGCAGTACAGTACAGTGCAGTTTAGTACAGTACAGAACAGTACAGTACAGTACTTTACAGTACAATACAGTACATTACAGTGCAGTACAGTATAGTACAGAACAGTACAGGGCAGTACAGCACATTGCAGTACAGTATAGTACAGTACAGAACAGTACAATACAGTATAGAACAGTGCAGTGCAGTACATAACAGTGCAGTACAGTACAGAACAGTACAGAACAGTACAATACAGTACAGTGCAGTACAGTGCAGTACAGAACAGTACAATACAGTACAGTATAGAACAGTACAGAACAGTACTGTACAATACTGTACAGTACAGTACAGAACAGTGTAATACAGTACATCCTGGAACAATACAATACAGTATAGAACAATACAGTACAGTACAAAACAGTACAATTCATTACAGTATAGAACAGTACAGTGCAGTACAGTACAGTACAGAACATTACAATACAGTACAGTACAGAACAGAACAGTACAGTACAGTATTATCAACATGGCGTCCTCATATGAACCACATTAAGGAAAGCACCTTAAATAAACACTGTTGTAGTACCTTAATGTGTACAAGAACTCAGTGAGAATTTACAGGTGTGGGTTATCAGGTGACGCATGAGATGTGTAGTGTGACATCCGAGGTTACATACACTGCAGTACTCAAGTGGGGTAGTAATGTTGGTTACAGTATGTTAGAAATTTATATACAGTATACAGTACAATACAGTACTTGTGGGATATGCAGTATATATTTAAAATGTCTTATTTTCCAAACTGTGATAGATTGCTCTAATTAATAGCTTATCTTGTTCATAACAGCTTGCCAACATTGTAAACATTTAAGTGATGTATCAGTGTTATCGATTATTTACTGTTATTACTTCACCGGACTGAGGTACTATACTGTACTGCCATTTATCTTATCTTCATTGTCACTACAGTACACTGTAGTACAGTACAGTACTCAGAAACTATGAGGTGTACAATTATTGAAGTATTTCACAACACATCAGTTATGGACATCAACAATGGTGCCATAATAGTTGTGTGACCTGAGTGATACATATACTGTGCTGTACTGTAATGTACTGTACAGTAAACCCTCAATAACTCGGCAAGTATTGGGCTCTGCCCTTGCCGAGTTATCCCAAATTCCGACTTATCAAGGCACTTCATTCCTCCTACAAAAATACAACAATAAAAATTATCGACCCATATGTGTGTACATTTAATTACTAAATGTAAAAAAAACTAACACTTACCAGCACTGTAGGTGAGAGAGTGAAGCATGGTAGGTGACACAGAGGTATGGTAGGTGACACAGAGGTATGGTAGGTGACAGGTATGGTAGGTGACACAGAGGTATGGTAGGTGACACAGTAGTATGATAGGTGACAGAGGTATGGTAGGTGACAGGTATGGTAGGTGACAGAGGTATGGGGTGACACAGAGGTATGGGAGGTGACACAGAGGTATGGTAGGACACAGGTATGGTAGGTGACACAGGTATGGTAGGTGACACAGAGGTATGGTAGGTGACACAGGTATGGTAGGTGACACAGAGGTATGGGAGGTGACAGAGGTATGGTAGGTGACACAGTGATATGGTATGTGACACAGGTATGGTAGGTGACACAGAGGTATGGTAGGTGACACAGGTATGGTAGGTGACACAGAGGTATGGGAGGTGACAGAGGTATGGTAGGTGACACAGTGATATGGTATGTGACACAGGTATGGTAGGCGACACAGAGGTATGGTAGGTGATACAGCTGGCCAGATATGCTGAGATTTTTCCCGATAATTTTTTATATCTTGACATTTCCCGAATTATACTATTATACATTCCGAGACCATAGCCAATTTACCCTGCCAAGTTATATGAAATTCCGAGTTATCAAATGGCGAGTTATCGAGGTTTTACTGTAGTTGTAAAAGCCGCCATAGTGTTGTTTAATACAGTTTATTTTGTTAAAGCCACAAATTATTAATACTTTTACTTACAGTACTGTGGATGGTCAGTGGCATGGTGGCTGGCCCATCTGGTGGTGTTGTCACTGGTGGTGGTGGGCATCAAGGTGATGAACCACTTGCTCCACCACATGTTTGACACAACTGACTGTCTGGAGGAGGAACTCACACCCGCCGTGCCCACCGCCGCCAACGATGATGTCACTACACCCGTCCACTACCCCAACTCAACCGCACCAGCCCAGCAGATGAGGTAAGTCACGGTGGACACTCTACAAGACTGTCAAAACTGGATGATACCTGTTGCTTTTTTACACCCATTATTGTCCCCAGTACTGAGTGAGCTGCAAGACCTTACCTCTTACAGGATAGTTTAAGACGCAACTCTCCGTCGCTGAGGGTCGTTGTGTTCATAACCATTGTTTTAAAAACATTGAGTCATATAGGACACCACACTACAGCCTCTGACTGGGAGGTGTGCCAGTAAGATGAACTAATACCAATATTATTAGTGTTTTACTGCCACACCTCCCTGTCAAAGACTGCAGTGTGGTTTCCTATTCGATTTGACTTTTTAAAACTATGGTTGTCAATACAATGACCCCAGCGACGGAAAGGGATGTTTACAACTATGGGGTCAGCCTCCAGTCATAATGTGTTACCTTTCATACCTGAATGATCTATTTACAACAATATTCATGCTTATAATTGTCTGTATACTTTGCACAGCCAGTCATTCGAGGCCATAGAGATGCAGGTTGTGAACAGTAAGGGAGGCGGTGAGAGTGAGACCCCTCCTGTGGGGTGCAGCTCCCGCAACTCTATCATGGAGGTCCCCGGCACACACTCCTCCGCCCAGCCCCAGCCCCCAGCGACCATAGGTGAGCCTTCCCCACCACACACACAGTCGTATAGTAGTCAGTACAGTCTAATGACGAGAACTGTCAGTTTTGTCAGCACTCTCATGGCTGGTAGTTGAGAGTACTTTACTGTACAGTATTGTAGATGACACTCTTATACTTAATATTAAAACACTCCTGTGCTGTACACTCAAATCATACTTGTAAGTGGAACAAATCTTAGATGATGGTAATGATTGATGAGTATAAGTAAAGGCTGTCAGGCTATGTTCTGTACTGTACTGTACAGATAAACTACTTAAGTCTGTTCACCTCTCCTGAACCATAAACCCTGAGATTCAGACTCATGAAGCAGTAGACTGATACATTATTCTGTCCATAAATGCTTTAGGTTCATGAGTCTGAATCTCAGGGTTTGTGGTTCAGGGGAAGAGGTGAACAGACTTTAGTAGTTGACTGTACAAGACCAGGATTCTGTAAATGACTTAGTCCTTTATTATATTAGTTGTTAATTTATATGTTATAATTATTGCCATTTACTACAATACAAAGATGAGGAAGGAGATGGTGTATAGAATTACACTATGTGTGTGTGAGATGCTCTGTTATGTTATGTGGTATTTCTTAATGTACTGTATCTTTAGTTTTCTGAGTTATTTTAATAAATGTTTGATGTCTGACATAAACTCAGACTTAAAGGCAGATGTACACCACAAGGACAGCTCAGGGAGTGAGGAGGGAGCCAAGTGTGAGGCAGCAGCACTGACCCCCTCGTCCAAGGACCCTCACAACACCACTACACGAGACAAGAGGTCGAGAGGTATAGTATACTCAAGACACTCTCTTATATACAATACACTTAGTACTGTACGTGCTAAATCTGCCATTATACTTGGGGCTGCTAGCACACGTGAGGTAGCAATGCAGAAAAGATTGAACTTTTTTAATGAAGGGAACAAAACATTAATCAGCTGCTTCTTGTACCACCAGATGAATTTTCAAACACTCATTGACACAGGGTCAGTATTTGGTAATTTTTGTGGGTGTAGAGTGGAGGTGTATAGTGGGTGTTGGTGGTGTAGAGTGGAGGTGTATGTGGGTGTTGGTGGTGTAGAGTGGTGGTGGTGGTGGTGGCACAAAGCATCAAAGTAATATATTGAATCTACAATGTTTGTCTTCTCTCAAGTTGGATGAAGTGTAAGAGATGTACTGTACTGTACCAGTGTATATTAGGTTAGGTGCAGTAATTGTCCAGGATACAGTACAGTATATAGTAACCAAAGGCTACAGTGATGATACACATTGTTTGTCCCACATCACCACTGCAATACTAACACTGAACCATCACTTGCAGACTGTGGCAATAGTGGCGGACCATCCAGCAGCGGTCGGGGACTCTGTGTCTCGGAGGGAACGCTGGCCAGTGTCTCGGAGATCACAGAGTCCCTCAATCACCCCATTATTGCCAAGCACTCCCAGGTCAGTGTACTGTTTAATGTTACGTGTTTTAGGCAATGGACGGTGGTGTTGGATTCATTGGAACTTGTCATGTACTCTACCACTGTATTATGTGAAGGATTTGTTTGTTTTTAAGTCAGTGTAAGGAAGGCCTCTTCTTTACTGTTTGTCTGTCAGCTGTCAAAGGTAAATTATTGACATATATTTTTCTGTGTGCGACAGTCTCTTGGTTGGTGCGGTGGAGAAGAAGGCGCTGCACCACACACCAACAACAACAACAGCAGCGGTGGCAGCGCACACAGCAGCCGCGGTCACAAGCGCTTGAGAAGGAATGCCACATCTGCTGGCTCCATGACCACCACCTCCCTCTGTGATGCTCATTCTGTAGACATTGTTTATTCCAAAAGTGCCAAAGGTTTGTGTCTTTTTCCCTCTGTTACTTATTAATGTTCACTTAACCCTTTGAGGAGGACTTTTAACCCTTTGAGGAGGACTTTTAACCCTTTGAGGAGGACATTTTAACCCTTTGAGGAGGACATTTTAACTCTTTGAGGATGATGTTATAACCCTTTGAGGATGATGGTTTAACCCTTTGAGGATGGTTTAGCCCTTTGATTATTATTGTTTAACTCAGGTTTGGCCAATTGAAACCCATGTTATAAACTATGGTTTAAACCAGTATGTTTATCTTTGCCTTTTTTCTTGGTTTTAATAATTTGTTTGTTTGTTTTTATTACTTACAGAAGGGTTTTAATGATTCATAGTAGAGTTGGAAAAGCATTGTGGGAGGGATTACAAGTGTATGGGGTGAGAGGAAGGCTATTAAAGGCAGTAAAAGCATTCCTTGAGAACAACAGGGCAACAGTAAGAGTAAATGGGAATTAAAGTGAAACATTTGACATATATGTGAGTGTTAGACAGGGCTGTGTTGTGTCCCCGTGGTTGTTCATTACAGGGGCCCTTCAAATTCACATGGGTTAGTTCTCAAAATGGCCACGACTCACCAAATCCGCTAATAACATTTACTGAGCCAGGGGTGGGGGGGTACATTTTTACTTGTGTACAAAGAAATTATATATTCTCTTTATGTGTTTGTCCTTAGGACAATTATTTCTTTTACCTTTATTGTATATACGTATACTGTATATATGTGTGTGTGTGTGTGTAGACACTCACACAAAACACATACAAATAAATAATACAGTAGAAGTCCAAAAATCAGGACTGCTTGGGGATTGGGTCAGTCTGGATTTTCGGATTTTCCGGATTCTCAGGCAGTACTTTTAAAATTCAAATTTAAGGAGGAATAAAGAAGAGGTGAACAGGTACATTTTGATAGTTTATTCATTAGCAAATATAGCATGCTTCATTTACCAAAACGAGCAGTTTTAATGAAAAAGCTGTGAATTCTAGAATTTTATTCTTTGCCTTTTTGATATCATAAATTGTAGACTTTCCAATGTTGTATGTTTCCATTAGAACAGTATTGCTCACACCACGTTCTAGTTTCTTAATTATTTCAAGTTTGTCACTCAATTTCAACGTGTTCTTTCTCTTCACACAACGAAGTTTATCTACTTTAGGAGCCATTATTATGGGCTTGTACAGTAATCTGTAAATGGAAAGAGTAGGACTCAAAATTACATACGTTGTCACAGTTTGATTGCTCGTTTTAAAGTGGCGACCGCGTGGTCGCTTGTTGTCGCTGTGCAGCTGTGGCGCTTATGCATGCGCACATACACACAAAAGCCCGCTAAAAAAAAAAAAAAATTGAGTTTGAAAAGTCCGGATTCTCGGGTGGTCCGGACATCCGGATTTTTGGACATGGGTCCTTTTGGTTAGGTAATATAAATTTTAAAAAATCAAGCAAAATTTTCTGAATAAAATGGTATATGACTCAACATATGAAACATTTACTTTAAATGTCCCACGTGGTGTCACATTTTGCTGCGCCACTCTCTCAGTACTGCCAGACATACGATGAGATACATTCCCACTAGCCGCATAGTTTTACTATGTAGGTTCCACATTTTCTTTGTGTACATCTTTATTATAAACTACATCTTTCTATGTAATTTTTGTTCACCTGGATTATATAAAAATAAATATTTTTTTTTTAATTCAATAATTCCATCAGAAAGTTATCAATGAATGAAAAATACAAGACAGAACGTTACCGTAATGTGCAATGACAGGCATCTGTAAGAGGTGTACGTCTAACTTTAACTTCATAATATTTTGACAGAATGATTATTAAAGTATGATAAAACAAAACCAGCGAAAAAAGAAATAAACAACATGCATTGGCGACATCGTGTGACTCAGTGCTCTTGTAGGGACAGTCAGCCACCCTTGAGGGTAGGGGAGAACACACACACACACACACACACACAACATTAATCATTAATTTTGTATTTAATTATTTTGTATAAAGAATTTTAATTAGAAAGTTTGGGTATTTAAAAGAGGAATATGATCATTAATATCTTAAATATACTGTAACCATTTTATTTTTACATTTGAAAAAAAAAGTAAATTATAAGTGTAGTGTAGTGTAGAGTAGATGATAAAGACCTATCTGTTGTATCTCAGGAGAGAAGGCTGGCAGCGTCCACTATCGTACTGGCATCCACCATGGCAGTACATCTCTGGGGCTGGAGGGGGGGTCAGGCGCGGGCGCTGCCTCCTCCACTGCACCATCACCATCATCTCTTCCCTCAGCTGCTGAGCCTCCATCACACCCAGTCAGCCTTGAGGTAAACTACTCTACTGTACTCTTTTACACACAGTTAAGTTATCTGACTGCCCAGTTGGGTTTATGCTGTACTGAACTATCATACATGATTCCCTTCTCCTCTAGACTCAACAAATTAGCTCAGACTCTCACTTTTATCATTAAGTCAGTTTTTTCTGCTGTGACAAGAGTGAGACAGAGGGGAGGATAGTTTGGTCACTGGTGGTACAGTACAGTACAGTACACCACAGTACAATACAGTACAGTACAGTACAGTACAGTACATGTATTCTTGGAGCTGTTCACTGCAGCCAAAAATTAATTGGTCTTTTGGCGGCCGAGAATTTAATGATTCTGAAAACCTAAATTCTAGTGAGAGCCAGTGTACTGACCACTATATCTCGGCCACTGTGAGAGCCAGCGTACTGAGCACTATATCTCGGCCACTGTGAGAGCCAGCGTACTGACCACTATATCTCGGCCACTGTGAGAGCCAGTGTACTGACCACTATATCTCAGCCACTGTGAGAGCCAGCGTACTGAGCACTATATCTCGGCCACTGTGAGAGCCAGCGTACTGAGCACTATATCTCGGCCACTGTGAGAGCCAGCGTACTGAGCACTATATCTCGGCCACTGTGAGGGACAGCGTACTGAGCACTATATCTCGGCCACTGTGAGGGACAGCGTACTGAGCACTATATCTCGGCTACTGTGAGGGACAGTGTGTCCAGATTTCTCTGCATGATGAGTCACGATATCATTTTTAAGATAGGTCAGATGATCTGTGGCGTCCCTGTTTTAGACTCCCCAACATTACACATCCAACATCACAACTAAGTTGTCTGACTGATACTCTATACTTCAGGTGATCATAGGCGACGAGGGCAACAGACGACAGCAGCACCACCACCACCGTCATCACCACAGCAGGCACCACCACCACCGCTACCACCAGCACCATCCCCACCACCATAACAGGAAGATGTCTCTGGTACCTTCGGCATGTGGGCGGGAGCCAAGCAACATATCGGTCATAGAGGAGAGGAACAACAGTTGTGATGCCAACAGTGGTAGCTGCTGTAGTGTTAACAGGTACAGTACTATGGTTCTCTTATATAGTGATACTTTATTACCATCACTACTGCTAAACAAATAGGATATATTGTACAGTGTCTCATCAGTAGTCAAATCTTAAGACAACATCTCATATACTTGTACTAAATATAATACTATACAGATTTGTTTTACCTGTCCCACAGTGAGGGAGAAACAGATGAGGAGGGCCCCAACAAAGGCTCCCACTCACCTTTGTTGACGCGCCATCAGAGTCTGGAGGGGAAGAGCTCCTCCGGGTCGCGCAGAGTTCGCTGCGGCAACACGAGGCTGGCACCCACCCCTCGGAACTCCGGTCGTGCGTACCAGCCTCTGGTGTTTCGTAGCAGCTCTGCCATCGCAAAGTTTCGCGATAAGACGAAGATGGAAGGGGACAACTATAAGGTGTGCACGCTGACGTTTGAGAATATATACGCGGACGATGAGAGTAGCTCAGACACGTTGAGTGTGGTCAAACTGTCCAGCAGCTCCGACGAAACACTAAGTAGCGTAGCAGATCAGTTAAGTCTACATAGACAGTCTTTAGGTAATCTCGACTGTGATAACGTTAACTCTAAGTGCAGCGGGAACGGCAACTGTGACGAACCCGCGGGGGGAGGCAGGAAGGAGGACCACAACCACCTCCACCACAGAAGCAGAGAGGAGGTTGTGGTGGACTTGGACGATGCTCCCCTAACCATTCCACAATATGCTGGAGAAAATGCCTCAGTAGTGAGTGATGAACACAGGACACACAGTGTAAGAAACTCGCAGGAACTGCTCGTTGTGAACGATAACGTAGAGAGTAGGTCGTCTAGTCCAGGTTTAGACTGGCTCTTCTCGCACAGTGACTCGGACTCGGAGTTTGCCGACGTTGCCCGCGACCCGAGTGACCAGAGGAGACGCTCTTCCCAGCAGAGCGACGAGGATAGTTGGAATATAATTAGGTCTTCGCCGGAGAGCCCCGCTGAGGCTTGTGCCGTCTCGTATCCGCACCCCGTCAACCACTGTGGTCCGGCTTGTCAGGGGGCCATTCCTAAGAAACGGAGGCAGGGCGTAGTGGTGGAGGAAGTGGAGTCAAACGGAGGGGGCGAGAGGGGCAACAGAGAAGCGTCTGTTACCATGGAGGACCTGGTGAGACGACTCTTGGATATCCTAAACAGTTCTCTCCACGATCCTCAACAATGCCATCGGGATATTCAGAAGCTCGTAGTGTTAAAACGGAGGTTGGAACAAGAGGGGGGCATCGGCGAAGCCATCAGAAGCGGCCAGGGATCGCTGACGAGTCCGGGGACCTCGGAGAACTCGACCCAGAGCAACAAATCCGTCGAGAAGCCGGTGGAAACACATCTGTACAGGAAACCAGCGGTGCGACGGAGAAGACACGTGGCGGGGAGTGCGACATCCCCGCCCACCTCCCCCAGCGATCCCCCTGATATATCTTCCTTACTCACTACCACCCTCACCACCTCACTCACCACCACCTTCACCACCTCCCTCACCACCACCTTCACCACCTCCCTCACCACCACTCTCTCACCAGCATATCAAGATACCCACAGAAATCATCCATCACAGGTTAGTGAACTTATCGTCCTCCTCCAAAATAAGATTCTTGTTTAAAGTGGAGGAGGAGGAGGAAGATGTTGACAGTGGGGTGAGGCAAGAATGATGTTTTTAATAGTTGAAGGTAAGACTAGAAGTTTATAACAATATTAAACTAATAAATGTGTGTGAATACAATAATTGACTTTATACACAATATATATATATATATATATATATATATATATATATATATATATATATATATATATATATATATATATATATATATATATATATATATATATATATATATATATATATATATATATATATATATATATATATATATATATATATATATATATATATATATATATATATATATATATATATATATATATATATCTCTATCGTCTAAGCTCTGGCAACCGTTACAATACATAACTGGTGAAGGGTCAAGGATCGCTAAAACCAGTCAGTTTATATACTGTACTGTAGTACATTTTAATGGCTGCTGCAGAAGCCGTAACTGAGCAGAACTTGGTAAATAAATCAATTGCTGAAATCTAGATTAAGTTTTCATGTGTTTTATTGATATATGTATAATGACTCCATAGCTCACTCACCTCACAAGTCAATGGTTATGTGTTTGACCAAAGTATTGGTGGTGGGATGGTTGTCCTGCACCAGTGAGTGAGTTCTGACCCTTGATCCTTCCAGGGGAGGTGAGGTAACCTTATTCCAGCTGATTGTTTTGCTAAGATTTACAAGACGGCATCAGTCCAACAGGGAGGGATTTGTATTCTTGAATAAAAACAAAACATAAAAACAATGGCTGTGTTTATAATAGAGAAGCATTGATTGCAGGCCATTAGTAAAGGCTGGTGAGAAAGTTCCCTCATTTATTCCTCAGGTCATTCGGGTTTGGTAATCATAGAGGTACAGTCGCTCAAGACGCAATCTTAATACTGTATGTTAGACAATATGACACAACGAACGAAGGATTATGACAACCTTACCAAGACAACAGGAGTCACAGGTTCATTATGACATTCATCAACCACCCTCTCAGTAATGACAGTTTTCTGAGTGACTGTACAGTACAGTAGTTGATGGTGATGCTTCTCAAGAAATAACATCAGCAGTTGTTGGTGGTGATTGTAGGTCAGTCATTTTAGGTTAATTAAGGCTACATTATATATTGTTTATGATATTACTGTACTCACTTAGTTCTTTATACTCTATATGTATACAGTATTAGACATTTTGGGATATTAACAAGTACAGTATGGGATCATTGCTCCTGTACTGTACTGTTGCTCCAACACTTGTCTCACACTACTAAAGTCTGCTCACCTCTTCCCCTGAACCTGAAGCATTTATAGACAGAATAATGTATCATTCTACTGCTTCATGAGTCTGAATCTTGGGGTTTGTGGTTCAGAGGGAGAGGTGAACAGACTTTAGTAGTTGACTATTTTACCTCACTATCATTTAAGGATCCTGCTCCTTGATCCATCCTCATGAAAGTTAGGGAATAGAAAAAATGTTAAATGAGAGAATATTAAAGATATACTTCAGTACAGTATAGATATCATGTTGGATAATGTTAAAATTTGATTGAAGATCTCTTGCAGAGTGTTGCCTAAGTGTAGAGGAAGGCGACGAGAGTTAATATGATGAACTATTGAGCTGAAACTTTGATACAAATAAGTTTAGATATACTGTACAGTAATTGTGGGTTAAGCTGTTGGTTGTGATAAATGTCAGGTTAAAGTATTGTTGGCTTCTTCTGAGTCTACGGAGCTTTAATAGTTATGGAAGACCTGTTCTCTGGCTGTAAGTGATGGATGTATCTTGTTAACATTGTGAGGTGATGGTTATTATATAACCAATATGTTTCAAAAGTTCTCATGTGGTTGTTGTTGTGTATTTTACAGAGACCAAGTCCGTTTCCTGCATTGACCAGAAGTGGAGGAGATAGTGATGACGATAATAAGCCTCACAGAACTATGGTGGAAAAGAAAACAGGAGGTGGTGGAGGCACGTCTCTATTTTCCGGTAACTCGTCACTGTCTGACGGAGGTCCTCCCCTGTCTGCACTATCCTCACTCTCCTCCCCAGGGACCCACCTCGCCGTGTCTCACGAGGACACCAGTGACGGAGCTGTCCACTGTTTTCAAGACGAGAGAGGAAATTGGTTTACGTACACGTTTAACGACAGAGGCGTGAGCACGGCCTCTAGCGTTATGCCTGTGAGCGACAACAGAGTTTTGACCAAACTTTTGCGGCGTACCAGCAACAACCTCCAGGGACCTAGTCAGAGCAGTAGCAGCCAGAATGCCTCCGGGGGTCTGACGCGCGGCGATGGTTCACTCAGCAGCTCCTCCATGTCTCTCTGCTCGGGGCTCACTGTCATACTGGACAACCACTTCCCGCCTGCCTCCTTGCCGTCTGCCTGGCCAGAGATCTGTAAGGCTAATCCCAACCTGTCGTCGTCAAACGTCGATCCGGCCAGTAGTGCGGCGGTGGTACCGGCTTCGTCGGCCGTACGCAGAAGGTGTTCTTCGCCCCCTGTCTCCACGACCGTCGTCAACATGAGAGATCAGGACAGAAATAATCAGGATGGCACGAGCGACCCCGACCCCATACCCAGGGTGACGGCCGGTCCCAGAGGGGGCCGGGACCTGCCCCTGCTGTCTTCTGAAACCCGTCATCACTTACAGCTGTTGAGTATAGGGGCCCCTCATAACCCTCTACAGCTGTTCACAAACGCACTGTTCGAGCGGAGACGCTCCAGCAACCGTCCGGTCACCGCCGCAGGTTCCATCATTACCTCCGAGGCCTTCGAGAACATTAGTCTCCCTCACGGGCTCGACGTGGATGTAGACCTGGGGCTGTCCTCCAACAAACTCAAGTTCCCCGTCTCAGCTCCTCACACTATACAATATTATAAGTTTAGAATTTGTGGGAACAGATCTGTAAAAATAAAGTTTGATAGACTCTTTTTGTTAGCATTACTAGACAGAAATGTTACATTTTTAGAAAATTTTATCTGTATTTTTCTTGCCATTTTCGTAAGCATTTTAGGGTGTATAATTCTGCACAAAGAGTTCTATCAGGAATTAAACGTGTTTATATTTTGTCTCGTGATGGCGAGTTGTCAGTATTCCTTATTCAAGAGCGTACAGCCCGACGCGGCTTCTCCCACGCACGGGTACAACCGCGTCGTGCTCTACAGCCGACCAGTATACTTCATCATCTGCTGCAGCATGATACTCCTCATACAGCTGTACTTAGACAGTAGCCACGCCTGGCGCAAGTTCATCCTCTACGGCATCGACTTTACCGACAGAGTAATGTTAGAACAGTGTAAAGACCTGCTACTGCTCTTTATACTCTTCTTCCCTCTCATCTTCAGTTTGGGGCTCTTACCTCAAGTCAACACCTTCCTCATGTACCTTCTAGAACAGACCGACATCCACATATTCGGGGGTAACGCGACCACCAGCCTCACCTCGGCTCTGTACTGCGTCGGTCGTTCCATCCTCACGGTTCTCTTCCTGTTTGGTTTTGCGTACGGCGGACTGAGGGAGCCGGAGGCCCAGACCCAGCACATCCTCTACTCTATATTCTGCGGTCTTACGGTGGCCTTCAGCTACCACCTGAGTCGCTCGGCCTCGGACCCCACCACCCTGTGGCGCCTCATCCAGCAACACATGTGGCCCGAGGAGCTCCGGCGGGAGACCAGGGCCGGCAACCCTCGGCCGCCGCAGGAAGCGGACGAGCTAACCGACCCGCTGCCGGAGAAGTTGCGCAACACCGTTCATTCTTGTTTGGTACACGATGCCATCATGTGCACCGTGGTGGCGGTGGCGATCTTTGCCGTGCACTCCAGTACTGTGTTCACCGTGCTCTTAGACGGCGAGAGCCCGGATCTTTTCACTGCACTCTGGATATTTGCCAGTCTGTTTGGCTTTTTCAATCACTATATAATACCACAGTTGAGAAAGCAGTTACCGTGGCTGTGCGTGGCTCACCCTGTGTGCAGAACTCACGAGTACAGTCAGTTTGAAGTGTACGACGCTGCCAAAATTATGTGGTTTGAAAAAGTGTATGTGTGGTTGTGTATCTTAGAAAAAAATATTGTATATCCTGTACTTTTTCTCTGTGCCTTAACCAAAGATGCACCAATGTTGGTAGAAAGGTTCGGTCTCAACCCAGGGACACTGATCACGGTGATATGTGGCGTCAAGTGTCTGCGTAGTGTATATTCTCAGCCACAGTTCCAATACCTCATACTGGCATTTGCCAAGCTCTTCTTCAACTGGGATTTTAAGGGGAAATCCGAGACATTTTTAGTCGACTACTTTATCATGGGAATAATTTTTACCCGTGTTTACGAATTCCTCCTCAAGATGAAATTCATAGTGACGTACATAGCCCCCTGGCAGATCACCTGGGGTTCGGCCTTCCACGCGTTCGCCCAGCCGTTCAGCGTGCCCCACTCGGCCATGTTGTTCGTACAAGCCGCCGTCTCGGCCATCCTGTCCACCCCACTCAACCCAATCCTGGGCTCGGCCATCTTCATCACCTCCTACATCCGCCCGATAAAATTCTGGGAGCGTGACTACAACACCAAGCGGGTCGACCACTCCAACACCCGGCTGTCGTCTCACCTAGAGCGTAACCCCGGCTCCGACGACAACAACCTCAACTCCATCTTCTACGAGCACCTGACCCGCTCCCTCCAACACTCACTCTGTGGAGACCTGCAGATGGGTCAGTATATTGTACTGTACTGTATCTCTAAGCATGGCTCTTTCTATTACTACATACAGTATGTACAGTGTTTTATAATAATGGTTATCAATGGTTATATACATTATTGAATATACAGTATGCCTGTTTTATATTGCAATTAAATTTTATGACTCCATAATTGTGTAGCAGCTTTACCATACAATATTAGATCACAGATTACTGTACTATATAGTTCTGGATGAATGACTTTAAGTTTCATATTTTTCTTTATATAATTTTGAAGGAATGTTTTGAAATGGATCAGATATATAATTTATGGACACCCTTATTATGTCTGCACTTACACCTCTCATCCCAACTTATGTCTCACTTAACATATCTGCCTCCCTCCCACGTCCTTTATGACCATCAAACCTTCCCATTGTTTAACTACCTTATACAGTTTTATTGTCTTAACACTATCACTGTATGGCGGTGTGTATGTATAACCTGTTGATAGTGCTACACAGGTGCACCTCTCTCTCTCAGTGTTTCAGCCTCCTGTAATTCTTCAGAACTGTGACAGCAGCTTATTTCCTCCACTGATCTTTGTTGTTATATAGTAACTTTGATGTGTTAACCTTGTCTTGTTCCTCACAGGACAGTACAGTACAGCATCACACATAGTTAACTCTCTGTTATGTAGCTCTTCTGGAGTTCTACTTGTTGAACCTATCACAATAGTATTCTATGAAGTTGTTTACACTTTATAAGACAGTGGTAGTTGTTACTAAGTTGTTGTGTTACACTTGGAAGCTGTCACTGACTGGCTAAGTTGGCACATCAAAGGTGTCGGTAATGACTATAACGTCGGTGCCAGAAAAGTCGCGTCATATTTTTTCTCTGATATACAGGAGGTCCTCGTTATAAGAGTATTCACTATCATTGGTTTCGCTGTTAAGTGGTCAACTTTTTGTGACCATCCACATAAGTCCCCCACATCAAAGTGGATTCCACTCAATAACTCTGAAAACTCCCAATAAAATTTACAGATGTCTTGCTGAAATGTTTGAAATTTCTTCCTGTTCCTGGCGTCACACACACACACACACACACACACACACACACGTACACACGTACACACGTGTGTCCCCGCGCCAGTCTCCTGCTTTGTTTCATCTAGACCAGAGCTGTGTTGAGTTTAGTCCTGCCTTTGTTGTGACCAGAGCTGTGTTGAGTTTAGTCCTGCCTTTGTTGTGACCTGAGCTGTGTTGAGTTTAGTCCTGCCTTTGTTGTGGTGAATTATTTTATTATTTTTGTCGCCATGAGTTCCCAACCCAAACAGGGTGGTGCAGCGCTCAAAAGGAAGCACACAGCTATAGTATAGATGTAAAGTTAGAAGTGATTAGGTAAAAGGAGAGTGGGAGTGGCCAATCCACCCGGTCCTGTTTCTTTTTCATCCTCCGACTAATTCTCCATCCCCCAACACCCACCTCCATCATGCCAAATATTTTATTAGGTTAAAAAAAATATTTTTAAAACATTATAATAAGTATTTTGTCTCAATGATCCACTGGAGTGAGTGTGCACCAGCAACAGTTGCTGCAGACCACTGGGTCGCTACCTGTCCTCGACACACCGACCCCAATGAACTTTAAGGATGTTAGATAACTTATAAAGTTAAATTATTTCTTAAAATAATGTTTTACCAAATGTTTAACAAATGTTCTAAGGTAAATAATTGTTAAAAGACATCATAACTTTTGTTAGTGTTGTGTGTAATGTCTTGGTCCCAATATGATCTACTGTATTTCTGTTATTTATTATGGGATTAATTCATCGCTTTAAGTGGATTCATTATTTGAGACGTTTTTCCGGTGCTAATTAACTGTGGATAACGAGGACCCTCTGTATTCCAATAGTAACAGATACATCTTTAAATACTGTACTGTATTATTTTATCAATGGCATTCATTTAAAAATACAAACTTGAGCTTTATAATATTACTATCCAGCACATGATGGGTACAGTACAGTACACTTAAGCCTCTATTTAATGGACTATATAGAGAAAAGTCAATACCAAGGGTCCCTTAGATGTGAAAACCCCACCCAACGTATTTTATTTAGAGAGAAGTTCATTACATGGAGGATTGACTGTACAGTACAGTATAGTATTGTGTTTAAATGGTGACAATAATGTACTTTATGACAGGACGGTGGGGAGCTGCCAGCCAGGGAGATTGCTTTGTGTTAGCGTCCGATTACCTCAACTGTCTGGTCCACATCATCGAGCTCGGCAACGGTCTCGTAACATTCCAAATGCGAGGACTAGAGTTCCGTGGTACTTACTGTCAGCAGAGGGAAGTGGAGGCCATATCTGAGGGTGTGGAGGAAGATGCTGGTAAGTGTGTGTGTGTGTGTGTGACTAAACTTTGTGTCTTTTAATATTGTCAAATGATTTAGGTTAGTTTTGCAGTGTTACCCAAGAGTTGTTGGGTCTTGGGTGAAGCTACAGTGGGCTATAGAGACAGGTTCTCACTTGAGGTTCTTGGTGCAGGATGTTGTTGCTGTGAGCCGGGCCACCTCCCCCACTTACTAAGTGCCAACGCGGCGTTCAACCAACGATGGCTGGCCTGGGAAGTGACAGCCACCAAGTACGTCCTGGAGGGTTACTCCATCTCCGATAACTCCGCCGCCTCCATGTTACAAATATTTGAACTCCGCAAGATTCTCATTACATATTATGTCAAGGTGAGGACCTGAAGTCATATGGTTTGTGAATTGGTAATCTTACACGTACAGCTCAGCACAGTAGTCCCAAGTTATTGAGGGACTTAACATGTATATAATGATTTGTTTATCCTGGTTCCTTGATCTTTATTGCTATAGTAATTTTTTATCCCAAGATAATGTTTGTAATCAATGAATTCAACATTACAGAGCATCATTTTTTATGTGGTGCGCTCGGTCAAGCTCAAGGAGTGGCTGGAGAAGGCCGAGATAGACGCTTCTCTCTCACACACCCGAGATAAAAAGTTTGTGGACCTCGACCCCATCTTTAATCTGAACATAGACGAGGACTACGATTTCAAGGAGTCGGGCATTACCAGAACGAGTTTCTGCAACGTCTACCACGAGTGGATTGTTTACTGCGTGACGAGGAGGGACCGCAACGATCAGGAACAGATAGAGAGTAGTCGAGAGTCACAACTCATCTCCCTCTGTCTGGCTCTCAGTCTCTTAGGTGAGTTGTTTAATCTTTGTAAATGTTTTCCTCTGGTAGATGGGAGGCAACAGTGGGGACTGTTAGTGTTGGGAGCATCACAGTGGAACACATCTGTTATGGCAGTAAAGTTATCCAGTGTTAAATAGATTCTGGAGGTGTGAAATGTGTATTGAATAATATTTGCCGTGTAATTTATAGTTTTAGCAGTGCTGTAGAATTATGAAAATCTATTTAAAAAAATGGATAAGAATTTGTCATAAGGTTTTTTAATGCTTAATGGTAGCTGTTTATTAAATTATTTGTGTCAGTTTGAGTGAGTCAAGTAGTAATTCAGGATTGAGCTTCATGTGCCTGACTGAAGCATAAATAATACTCTTGATCTCACACACACACACACACACACACACACACACACACACACACACACACACACAAGCAGCAGCCACTGTCTTCTCTACACTGTTGAGAGTTACAAGTTAACCTTTAGTGTAATAATCCCTCTCATAAGCTCTTATATAAGTTCCATCACACAGTATTTGTTCTGTCAACAGGTTTATCTTATGTTTGTAATCCTTTACTAATCATTCCTTGGGAGACAAATATGTGAGGTGTCTGTCTAGTGCAGGGGGCCACGGTGTGCCCAGTATTGGAGATATTTTTATCAGAGGTGCGTAGTGGTGTTGGGCAGAGAACTTTTAGCCGACCCATTAACTTGTGCCCGCAGGTAGACGTGCTCTGGGTGCTGCCTCGCACAATGCCATGTCCAGTGTCGACTTCTTCCTTCACGGTCTACACGCACTCTTTAAGGGTGACTTCCGCATTACCTCCATGAGGGACGAGTGGGTGTTCTCAGACATGGAGCTGCTGAGGAAGGTGGTCGCCCCTGGAGTCAGGATGAGCCTCAAGCTCCATCAGGTGAATGTGTCTATATCTTAATGTCTGTCAATAATATAGACTCTATATAATTACAGAATATCCAATAAAATGTCTCCCTTTTCCCAGAAAGTTGCTTGATCTAAATATTTTGTTTATTCATTTACTGTATTTGAACAACTTCCTTATCATCATGTAAATATTGTGTGAACTATGGCAATGTTTTATAGTTAACCCTTTTCTTTGTCTTCTTTTTTCTCAGGACCATTTTATGCTCCCTGATGAATATGACAACCATGAATCACTGTATAATGCCATCCTGGAGCACGAAGCCCACCTAGTCATATCCCATGAGGGCGACCCAACCTGGCGCAACGCCGTCCTCTCCGGCAAACCTTCTCTCCTGGCCCTAAGGTGAGTCACTCCTGGCTGGGTGAGAGACCTCACATATAGAGAATACAGTGCAGTGAAACCTCTATATAATGGGCTTCTCTCTTCATGCAATCCATTAAATGGAGGTTTCACTGTACATTAAACATTTATAATGACTTCTTTTTAGATTATGGAAGGTAAAAACAGCAGTTTCTTAAAAGTATGAAACGTTCACACAGTATTCTAACTACAGTATTTCTTGAACCCTCCCCACCTCTCATCCCCACCATAGTTTTTAATCCTCTCTAGTCTGCTCCAGCCTGTCAGTGTTGGGACGGTCACTCTTTATTAATACAGTATTAAGTGTCTCGGCTTTTTGTGAAACATTATGAAATTTATCACAAACATTTTGGAGTGTAGAGGTGTATTATGGGTCATGGAGTAGGATTTGTTTTGCCTCTTTAGCTTTTTTTAGAACTTAACTGTAGCCTAAATATTTTTCCAATCACCAGAACTTTACCAGAAGCTTAATTGTTGTCCAAACCACCATATTTTTTATACCGTTTAATTCTTTATTGTTAATTGCAGACACGTAATGGACGACGGTGCCGACGAATACAAAATCATCATGCTCAACAAGAGGCACCTGTCCTTCCGCGTCATCAAGGTGAACCGAGAGTGTGTCCGGGGTCTATGGGCCGGCCAGCAGCAGGAATTGGTGTATCTCCGTAATCGCAATCCAGAACGGGGCTCCATCCAGAATGCCAAACAAGCTCTCCGTAACATCATAAACTCTTCGTGCGATCAGCCCATCGGCTACCCGATATACGTGTCTCCGCTCACGACGTCTTACGCCGACACCAACGATCAGATCAAGGGAGTGTGTGGTGGACCCATCAGTCTGACGCTCGTCAAGGAAACTGTTATTAATGTTTGGAAGAGGTAAGATGCTGATGGCTTCTTTATCTGGTCACCACTTGATGCTGGACTTAACTGCTTGTAATTTTAAATAAATACAGGATTTTATAAAAAAAAATTGATATTTAAACTTACTAGGATTTTATTTTATTTATACAGCTCCTCTCCGACTTACGACCTACTCGACTTATGACCACCCGAACATACGACCGCCTCAGTCATACCAAAAATTTTGTCAAATTACTGTACATATTTTCGTGTCCCAATGTCAGTGATTGCGCTGTGTACCGACAAAATTTTTGTTTGTAATTCACTTTAAAATGGCTGGCAAGCTTAAAAGTGAGAGTTTTGTGGTACTGAGAAGAAAAAGAGATACCCATTTTAGATTTTCTATGTATTATTTAAGCATTTTCGACTTATGACCTGGATTTGGGTCCCTAACCCCGTTGTAAGTCGGGGAGGAGCTGTATCATAGTTTTAAATTTCAAGTTTAATTTTCGGCGTCAAATGTCCACAGGCTGCAACGCCAGATATTTTATCCAATCAATCAATCTTTATGTGGTAATAATGCTTAGAAATGTTAGGTTATGTGGTATTAATGCTTACAAAGGGAAAAGGAACTAGAGGTAGATATATTTGGTTTGAGAATTTTAGGTGGAAGGGCATTGGAGTTGTAAAGAAATTGGTATATCTCCTTTGGTGATTTTGAAAAAAAAAACTTTTGATAAAGTGAAACACAATAAACTTATAGAGATCTTGGAAAGAATAATTATTAATGAAGGCTATATTAGAATTGTAAAGATTCTTTACTGGCAACAGTAAATAATGAAGTTATTAATTGGTTCACAGTTAGACAGGGAGTGGTGATCTGTCTCCAACATTGTATACAGTAATATATATTCAGAATTCTTAATGAGAGAAGTTATAAGTAATGAAGGCCTAAAAGTTAATGGTAAGGTAATATCAAATATACACTATGCAGATGTTACTGCTCTTATCACAGATAATCAAGAGGCATTATGAAAACCCATAAACAGATTAGAAGAAAAAGGTGAAAAATATGATTTGAAAGTTAATGATGTAAAGATGAAACTAATTGTTATTTACAAATTGGAAATAAATCCTAAAATAAAAATTATGGTAGGCAACAGGAAACTGAAACTAGTGGAAAATTTAGAGTTTTTTGGAAGTAACATTAGCTGTGTTGGTAGATGTGTGGAAGAAATCAAAATAAGAAGAGGGCAAGCAAAAACAGCATTTAATAATGTATAAGACCAAATGAAAGGGGACATTAACTTCAATTTGAGAAAAAATCTGTATTTACATGTGGGCCAGAAGTGTGGACACTTTCAGCAGACAACGGAAAGAGGTTGGAGGCCTTTGAAATGAGGTGTTATAGGCAACTGTTAAGAATTAGCTACACTAACGGGAAAACAAACGAAAAGTAGTAAGGTTAGCAAAATCTTCAAGAGAAAAAGTTGAAATGTACAGAAAAAGAAAAATGAGATACTTTGGTCATATAATTAGGGATGAGGGAATAGTAACAGAAATATTATAATGGGCAAAGTTGAGGGTAGAAGGGCCAGGGGAAGGCAGAGACTGGGATGGATGAATAAAATTAAAAACGGAGTATAAAAGACATACAAACAATAGGAGGATTGGTAAAAATGGCCCAAAAACGTCGCCAACCCTCAGATATACTCGTAAGGGCGGTACTATGATTGATTGGGGGGTAAATATAGAGGTTAAACAGAGTGTACAGTATTAAGAGTAGCTAGACAGTAAATATTATTTGTATTATGCAAAGCCAATGTTTGTTGGGGCTTCAGTCGATGGTATCCCTGTGTGAGTACTGTACACGTTGGTACCATTGGTGAGGGATACATAGTGAAGTGTTGAGAGTTGTGTAAGGTTAGTGATACATGGACCAGAGGTGTGTAAGGTTAGTGGTACATGGACCAGAGTTGTGTAAGGTTAGTGGTACATGGACCAGAGTTGTGTAAGGTTAGTGATACATGGACCAGAGGTGTGTAAGGTTAGTGATACATGGACCAGAGTTGTGTAAGGTTAGTGATACATGGACCAGAGGTGTGTAAGGTTAGTGATACATGGACCAGAGTTGTGTAAGGTTAGTGATACATGACCAGAGTTGTGTAAGGTTAGTGGCACATGGACCAGAGGTAAGGTTACCCAGAGTTGTGTAAGGTTAATGATACATGGACCAGAGTTGTGTAAGGTTAATGTACATGGACCAGAGTTGTGTAAGGTTAGTGGTACATGGACCATAGTTGTGTAAGGTTAGTGTACATGGACCAGAGTTGTGTAAGGTTAGTGGTACATGGACCAGAGTTGTGTAAGGTTAGTGATATGGACCAGAGTTGTGTAAGGTTAGTGATACATGGACCAGAGTTGTGTAAGGTTAGTGATACATGGACCAGAGTTGTGTAAGGTTAATGGGTACATGGACCAGAGTTGTGTGGGTTAGTGTATGACCAGAGTTGTGTAAGGTTAATGATATGGACCAGAGGTGTGTAAGGTTAGTGATACATGGACCAGAGTTGTGTAAGGTTAGTGGTACATGGACCATGACCAGTTGTGTAAGGTTAGTGGTACATGGACCAGAGTTGTGTGTAAGGTTAGTGATACATGGACCAGAGTTGTGTGTAAGGTTAGTGGTACATGGACCAGAGTTGTGTAAGGTTAGTGGTACATGGACCAGAGGTGTGTAAGGTTAGTGATACATGGACCAGAGTTGTGTAAGGTTAGTGGTACATGGACCAGAGTTGTGTAAGGTTAGTGGTACATGGACCAGAGGTGTGTAAGGTTAGTGATACATGGACCAGAGGTGTGTAAGGTTAGTGGTACATGGACCAGAGTTGTGTAAGGTTAGTGGTACTTGGACCAGAGTTGTGTAAGGTTAGTGGTACATGGACCAGAGGTGTGTAAGGTTAGTGGTACATGGACCAGAGGTGTGTAAGGTTAGTGATACATGGACCAGAGGTGTGTAAGGTTAGTGATACATGGACCAGAGTTGTGTAAGGTTAGTGGTACATGGACCAGAGTTGTGTAAGGTTAGTGGTACATGGACCAGAGGTGTGTAAGGTTAATGATACATGGACCAGAGGTGTGTAAGGTTAGTGGTACATGGACCAGAGTTGTGTAAGGTTAGTGGTACTTGGACCAGAGTTGTGTAAGGTTAGTGGTACATGGACCAGAGGTGTGTAAGGTTAGTGATGCATGGACCAGGGGTTGTGTGGAGTTAATGATACATGGACCCAGGGGTTGTGTGGGTTAGTGACCATGGACCCAGAGTTGTGTAAGGTTAATGAGTACATGGACCAGAGTTGTGTAGGTTAATTGGTACACATGGACCAGAGTTGATATTAAGGTTAATGATACATGGACCAGGGGTGTGTAAGGTTAGTGGTACATGGACCCAGAGTTGTGCTAAGGTTAATGATACATGGACCAGAGTTGTGTGAGTTAGTGGTACATGGACCAGAGCTGTCAGCAAGGTTAGTGATACATGGACCAGGGATTTGTGTGGGTTAATGATGCATGGACCAGAGTTGTGTAAGGTTGGTGGTGCATGGACCAGAGTTGTGTAAGGTTGGTGATGGACCAGGGGTTGTGTAAGGTTAATGATACATGGACCAGGGGTTGTGTAGGTTGGTGATGCATGGACCAGGTTGTGTAGGGTTTGGTGGTACATGGTTGGGGTTGTGTGGGTTAATGATACATGGACCAGGAATTGGTGTAAGGTTAGTGGTACATGGACCCAGAGTTGTGAGTTAATGATATGGACCAGAGTTGTATGAGTTAGTGGTACATGGACCAGAGTTCAATGTGGAGTTAATTGATACATGGACCAGAGTTGTGTAAGGTTGGTGATACATGGACCAGGTTGTGTAGGTTAATGATACATGGACCAGAGGTGTGTAAGGTTAGTGGTACTGGACTGGGGTTGTGTGGGTTAATGATACATGGACCAGAGTTGTGTAAGGTTAATGATACATGGACCAGAGTTGTGTAAGGTTAGTGATACATGGACCAGAGTTGTGTAAGGTTAGTGATACATGGACCAGAGTTGTGTAAGGTTAGTGATACATGGACCAGAGTTGTGTAAGGTTAATGATACATGGACCAGAGGTGTGTAAGGTTAGTGATACATGGACCAGATTGTGTAAGGTTAGTGATACATGGACCAGAGGTGTGTAAGGTTAGTGATACATGGACCAGAGTTGTGTAAGGTTAGTGATACATGGACCAGAGTTGTGTAAGGTTAGTGATACATGGACCAGAGTTGTGTAAGGTTAGTGATACATGGACCAGAGTTGTGTAAGGTTAATGATACATGGACCAGAGGTGTGTAAGGTTAGTGATAGATGAGTTTGTTTATTTTTTTATTTAGTGGTACTGTACTGTACTGTACTGTACTGTGCCCTCCTAACAGCTGAATGGTGTAGTGTCACTTGGTTTGTTTAGGCAGATGGGAAGTTGTGTAATCATTTGCACACTGTATGGTATCAAAGTTTAGTACAGTACAGTATATAGGAAGGGTCTTGGTTCTTGGTGTAGGTCTTTATATATTAGTGTCACAGTACTGTGGTGTAGTGGAGACCACGAATGAGACCACACATAATTTTAGCCTTTATAGATCACAGGAAGACTAGCTTTCCCAAGTGCTCACCTCACCTAGCCAGCCTGAAGTTTAATTACTCCCTAGACCACATCTGGGGGAATGGCGTGAGCTGATCTACATGTAGGTAATCCATAAAGGATGGGATTATGGAACGGTCTCGATTGTGGTCCCGACTACATCGCCAGTGTGTAGTATAATTATGTATTGCAAAAACATTTCAAGAGTGTTATCACGGTGGCAGAGTACGACGGCGGTGCGGCGAGGGTTGTTCTAGTGGCAGCTCGGGGCTCAACGACGAGTGTGGGAGGACGGCCGATCCACACCACGGCAACATTCCACTCCATCAAGGTGAGTGTATAGAGAAATATATTTATTGCTTAGTATTTCTGTTGCCTCCTCGGATGTACTGTATACCCTCCCCAAACTGTGTTCTCCCAGTGTGCACGTACTGTATATACAACCTTTGTTCACCATCCCCTACAATGTAATTTTCTACTTTTCATGCCACCCTCCTCCTCTTCCATGCCACCCTCCTCCTCTTCCATGCCACCCTCCTCCTCTTCCATGCCACCCTTCTCCTCTTCCATGCCACCCTTCTCCTCTTCCATGCCACCCTTCTCCTCTTCCATGCCACCCTCCTCCTCTTCCATGCCACCCTCCTCTTCCATGCCACCCTCCTCTTCCATGCCCCCTCCTCTTCCATGCCACCCTCCTCTTCCATGCCACCCTCCTCTTCCATGCTACCCTCCTCTTCAATGCCACCCTCCTCTTCCATGCCTCCCTCCTCTTCCATGCCCACCACCATGCCCCAGCCTCAGCTTGTACTCACCTCACCTACACCTCAGGTGTTGACAGCCACATTGAATAATGACTGGAAGGATAGATTTACACCTCAACCAAGAGTAACTTACTGTACAACCATCAGTGTGTGTTGTCACTACACTATTTGTTATGGGCCAACAGGCAGTACTACATAAAGCTCTTGTTTTTCATTTATAATTTAAATTAAATGATTCTCCTCTTCTTGCAGTCTTGACGACAGTACCCCCAAGTTTGGGGTCTGGTGGCAGTCAAGATGGCTCCCAGGTTGGCGGTCTGAGCTTGGTCACGGCTACGGGAAGTTTGGGTCACGGAAGTTTGGGACGCGGCGGCTCGCTGTCCCGCGGGTCTCTACACGCCAACCGTGGCTCTATTGTGTCGACCGTGTCATCTCTGGTTGGTCCTGCCAATAAACAGTCCACTTCTACCCTGGCAAGTTTGGCCGGTCTTCTCTCCGACACTACGGCCGGACTCACCCGTCTGGATCCCAGGGACAGAGACGGGCTCAGCGAGGGGTCTGCCAGCAGTAAAGATCGGGATTGGAGCGGCCGAGACGTATCTCTGCACGGCGGGCGAGATGGAGGATCGATTCACAGCGGGCGGGAAGGATCGCTACACAGCGGAAGAGAAGGTTCCCTACACAGCAGTAGAGATGCGTCTCTACACGGCTCTCTGCCGGGCGGTGAGAAACGAGTCCGTCAGGGAATATCCGCCAGCAGCCGCAGCACACCCACGTCTTCCTTGTCCACTCCCGCCCGGGACGTGCCCATCGTGTCCGGTTCCCGGGACCCTCATCTGCGGGATGCAAGTTGGGATGCGTCGAGCCTCAGGGAGGACTGTGGCACCTTACACGAGGAGAGTGAAGAAAAGTTCGCCACGCCTCCGCCGGATAAACACGTGCAGCGAGTCCGGGTATGACAACTCCGGCGTCTTGTCGAAACTTGTCGTCCCTGCCAGAGTTATGGTGGTAGTGAGTCACATCTTGTATAATGGCATACAACATTTATGACACTGATGAAACAACCTTAAAATGATAGGTACAGTACAGAACACACAACCAAAATATTAAATATGTAATGGTATTATTTTCAGATAATAGATGCCAACCAGGTTTATGACACCTTAAACATGGGTCGTCGCATCGATGTAGTTTGGCCCGACGAAGGCATGCGCAAGAGAGGTGGGAGGAGCTTCTGGGGTCACTGGGTGCCAGTGGAGGGCATGGAGGGACCCATCGTACACACCTGGACGCCCCACCACCCCGACCCTCACCTCCGCTCCCACGTGGGTCGCGTCATCCTCCTAGTTCAAATTGAGGACAAGTTTGTTCCTGTCGCCCAGAGTGCTGTGCAAGACCTTGGGGCTGAAGTCTAGGTTGCATTTCTCACCTTAAGCTTGAAGAATGCTTTAGTCACATCTGGTTATTGTGACAGTAAGTAAGTAAATGCTAGACTTTGTTAAGAAAAATACAGTACTACCATTTGTGGGCGGTTCATTTGTCGGATTTGATAAATTTATATTAATGGTTAGTAATTATTAGAAACTTTTATAAGAATCCTTTTGAAAGTTCTTAGACAGTAGGGAAGTTATACAAAACATTTCTTTAATAAAAAAGTTGTAGATGTTTTAAGAGAGAGAACGAACACGTGTGTCGTCGAGGTAACTCGGAGCCGGACCCGTAATATCATACTTGGGCTCCTGTATTTCATGTGCTTCCGTGCATAATATAATGTTGTAGGCGAGACACAGGAGTGTCTTGTATAACAGAGATGATGTCCTCTTGGACTTTATCAACATTGTGAAGAGTTTTGCACAAAATAAGAACAAAAATACTGTAGGTGCACCAAAAACCTTTCAGCTTGCCTCACATTTATTTGTCCTCATTTATTATTACAGGGGGTATTGGACGGGGCTCCCTGTGTGTTACTGTTTCCCCTGACTGATGCTAAGTGTTGACTAAAGTAAACTCGGTATAATTTTTATGATATTTTAGACATTGTGTAACTCAAATCAGCCAGCCAGTCAGATGTGAGGAGGAAAGATAAACATACCAGCCCTTGGGAGCTTGAGCCTAGGACGAACAAACAAACAAACCTGTTAATCTTACCTGTCAGCCCCCCCTCCCCCCTCTCTCTAGTGCTCAAATGGTAAACTGTGCTAGTTACTGTGTAATGAGGGGGTATATTTTGTAATGATGGGCCAACCTACCCTAGTGGTATTCCTATAATGCCTGAGAGTTGCTACATACACCACTGTAAAGTCATCAACACAGTGGAGTCCTGGTCGTGATAGAAGATGCAGTGCTACAGTACAGTTTTGTATCTCGGCCAAAAGAGGGAAGCAACTAAGTACTTCCAGACTATTCAACTCCACCCCCTAGGCCCCGGCAGATTGTCCCAGCGCTCACTTACACGAGACACACACACACAAGTGATGCTGGATTCCCTCTTTTAATACTACTTTCATACAGTTAGCTCACATTTTATTTATTTTTCAGTCCATGACAGTTGTTTGACCGACGACTTTGGTTCACGCTACAGCTTAAACTTGTAATGTGTGCTGGCTTGAGATGCTGTACTAGCTTAGCCTCCTGGTGACTGATCAGTTCAATGCTTTGTTTCATGTGAAAAACATTGATAATTAGAATATTTCTCATCTGTCCAGCAAATGTCAATCTACTGGCCAAGATACTTACCAGGTGGCTACTACCCTCACAATCTATCACCTGAGTAATTTGTTTCATGAGAGAAGAATCTGAAAATGAAATTTTGATTGGAGAGAGATAATTGATTCATCAACTAATCTCGTAACATTTTACACAAATTGATTATTTCCCATCTGTTGCGTAAGTCCCCCTGCCTTGCTGGGGAAGTCATAGCTATTTTCTTTTTCTCTGTTTAAAGTTATGGAATTTTATAGGGGTAAAATCTATGATTACTTCTGATTTTTTCTTAAACATCAAAAGGAAAAAAATGACATGAGTTTGCGTATGTGAGTCACTTGGAAGATAGTACAGTAACTAATGAACTTAGTTGTGTTGTTTAATGCTTAGTTGGTAGTAAATTATAAAAGGAAAGTGACACTGTTGTGGAAGGTGTTGTCACAGGAGAAGGCGAGAGTTTGTACTTAGTAGATAGTGTGTGTGTGTGTGCGTGCGTGCGCGCGCACTTGATGGCATTTACCAGTTCTCATGAGGCTATGTTGGTGTTTAGTCTCTGCTAGTAGTCTCCAAACATTAATATTATTATTATTGTTAGTATTATTATTATCATTATTATTGAGAAGTACTTAGTACATTATGGTGGATCTGTTATACAACATTTTCATGTTACCTGAGGAAGAATGAGTCGTCCACCTTCGTGTTTGTCTCGGTCAAGATTTTTGATGCCAAAAGTGAGAAATTGGTGTTTATGTAGCTACTATTGTGAGAGATATTGATGTCTTGACTACCTTCCAGAGGCACAAAGGCCTTGCCATTCCAAACAATGTTTATGTTCTTATGAGGAGTGAGTGGAGTATCTTGTTGACAGACTTATCATTCATTTTTCCTTAACCTGAGTTGAATTTATATTGATAATTTAAATACACTACTGTGAATAAAACATTTTAACAATGTCTTAGATTATACAATGAATATAATGTTATTGTCACAGGATACCATGGTGACCTAAGAAGAGGTATAGGTGCACAAGTACAGTAACAAGCCTTCTGTATTCTGCAACTTGTGATTACTGTAATGTATATTTCATAAGTTAGGGTCAGATTAAGAGGCCACCTTGCTGGGTCGGGAGTGAACCTAAAATGGTACACCACCAACTATATTGTACTGTATATTAATGCAAGTGACCTGGTCTTTACTGTTCCAAGTCACTTCCCACTGAGAAGGACAGAGAATTGGTGTGTGTGTGTGTGAACATGATAACTGGAAAAATAGTAATTGATTTTAACCAAATTTGGGATGTGGATGTATCACAGCAGATGTCAGTATAGAGTATTTTCCAGCATCATTGTCCCGAGTTATTGCCTCTTGGACATTACCCTACAGAAGGGTCGACCCACCTTTAACGGTAAACCATTTTTCACTGACTTAATTTGAATATGCAGATAGATCCTCCTAATAGAGAGGACACCATGTGTTACAGATGTCTGCTGCTGCCTCTTAGTGGCAGTGTTATAATGGGCTTAAATGTGAGAGAATATTTTAATGGCTTCATCGGCCGAGTGGCACACCGTATCTTAATTCATTAATGGATGTTGAAGTGAAAAATGTATTCAGTATTGGTCTTGGGAGGTTTATGTGGTTGTACTGTAATGGCTTCTTGAACATGAGTCTGTAGGTTAGGTTTTGGGTGTAGAGACTATTTAGTACCAGGTGACCGGACTCGAGAGCAAACACACACACACTCCCTCCATTTGCTGTCATTCATTACAAGTTGTGTTATGCTGTGGTGCTTCTCCACACAACACATGTATACCCATCACTCCACCCAACCTCATTTATTACTAATTATCTGAAGTTGTTGAGGACAAACCATTTGTCACAACCTTGCCAATTACCAATACAAAAACAGTGAACACAAACTGACATAATTTTTTACCCATTGACCCATTTGACTACCAAAGGGTAGTGCCACCACCCTCGTCCTGCGCCCAGTGAAGGACGTGTTAACCTTAAACTTCTTTATGTATCTGGTTGGTTTACAGTTTCTGGTGGATCCATTTGGAATTTGGTTAGGTTAGGTTAGACATCATAATTACCATTCAATGATGTACTGTATGTGTATATTTGGGAAGGGTTGTAGCCAAGGTCAGAGATCAAGGTCATGTGGTTCCCAGCATACTTTTCAGCTAATGTTAGACTTTAATATTGTAGACAAAAACACTGTCAGTACAAGCAGCCAATCAGCAGTGTTTCGGGTTTTTGTGTGACATTTTTGGAACTTCCTGCTGGGGGAGTCATGGCTGGAGTATGCCCCATTACTGTACTGGCCACCATCATCATCCTCACAAAAAAACACCACCACATCTCTGGCCGCTGTGCTGATTCCTCTGTACTGTAGTAGCTGTAGTGCCCCTTGTTATGATCTTCCAGGCCTGTTGTCTGTGATGGCTGGCCCTATGACTGCAGTACTACACTAAGCATTAAAACAAGTAATTTACACCCCACACCTCTTTTAAATATTACATCTTTAATTATCTTTTTCAATATATACTGAAAGACTCATATAAATGGTGGCTTAGCTATCACATAACATCTCAACCCAACAGTTAATTGCCTTAAGTGACTTCTGCTCACTTTTACCTGTCCCTGACAACTGAGACTGCTTAGGTGTGCAGATTGGTTGTTAGTGTTCTGTCGTCGGCACATTTTGGTATTATGGCCTCTGTGTGGTAGATGTGAAATAGACATGCATGTGTAAGACAGATTTCATTGGTCACTTTATTGGAAATAACTGGGGCCTGTGGTAGTGAGGCAGTGTCAGTTCTACTGGTTAAGAATTTGTTTTATTATACGAAGGTTTTAACTTTTTTCAAAGGTTCACGTGAGTCCACCAGATATACTACAGAATATACAAATCAGTCAATCCCTCTTCACTACAAAACCTCCCAAATTGCTATGTAGTTCCCACCATCACTTCCTACAGCCCAGCAACAGCATCATGTCCATCCCAGAGTACAGTACTGTAGATGATTTTAACTGTACCAGTCACCTTTATGAAGACGTGTCCTCACACACACACACACACACACTGTACCAGTCACCTTTATGAAGACGTGTCCTCACACACACACACACACACTGTACCAGTCACCTTTATGAAGACGTGTCCTCACACACACACACACACACTGTACCAGTCACCTTTATGAAGACGTGTCCTCACACACACACACACACACACTGTACCAGTCACCTTTATGAAGACTTGTCCTCACACACACACACACACACACTGTACCAGTCACCTTTATGAAGACTTGTCCTCACACACACCCTGTTGGAGAGAACTTACTAATGATGCACCACCTCTCTCACACAGTATATATGGCTGCTTGTTGATCACTTTTCATCTTCAATGCTCAAATTTTTATAGTATTTTTGTAATATTTTATTTAGCTACTTGGAACATTTGCAATTAAGAGATAATCGAACTCCATTTAAGCTTTTTGTGTCTTATGAATTGAATACCAGTGTACAGTATAGTGTGTGCCTGGTGGGAGTGAGTGAGAAGATCATATGTTACATTCAGTGTAGGAGAGAACTAGAATATATACTTTCCTTCAGTCTTTATCTATTGACCAATTTTCATTTATTAAGTTCATTCTTTTTTCTTTTTTTTTTGTCTCAAGAACATTACATGCAGTCATTAGTATGACATCATCAGCTAAACACGTAATTACTTAACAGTTTTTCTTTATCAGTCGGTGAACATCCACTAAAGTTGAGAAATCAAAGATAAAAAAAGGTGTTGGGGGAAAGTCTAAGGTGTTGCTTGCAGGTGCACATCTGTTTCATTATTGATGTTAGATGTCACATAAAAGTATGGATTTTTTTATATAGTACAGTATGTAAATTGTAAAACAGTACAGTACAGTACACTACACTACAGTACAGTGCAATATGCTACAGTACACTACAGTACAATACACTACAGTACAATACAGTACACTACAGTACAATACACTACAGTACAATACAATATACTACAGTACACTACACTACACTACAGTACAATACACTACACTACAATACACTACACTACAGTACAATACACTACAGTACACTACACTACAGTACAATACACTACACTACAGTACAATACACTACAGTACAGTACACTACACTACAGTACACTACAGTACAATACACTACACTACAGTATACTACAGTACACGACACTACAGTACACGACACTACAGTACACTATAGTACAATACACTACAGTACAATACACTACACTACAGTACAATACACTACAGTACAATACACTACAGTACATTACACTACAGTACAATACACTACACTACAGTACAATACACTACAGTACAGTACACTACACTACAGTACACTACAGTACAATACACTACAGTATACTACAGTACACGACACTACAGTACAATACACTACAGTACAATACACTACAGTACAGTACAGTACATGACACTACAGTACAATACACTACAGTACACTACAGTACAGTACACTACACTACACTACACTACACTACACTACACTACACATAGTACACTACAGTACACGACACTACACTGCACTACAGTGCAGTACAGTCAACTACTAAAGTCTGCTCACCTCTCCCCCTGAACCCCGAGATTCAGACTCATGAACCTGAAGCTTTATGGACAGAATAATGTATCAGGTTCATGAGTGAATCTTTGGGTTGGTGGTTCAGGGGGAGAGGTA